TTTTATACAAAAAAATCAAAACTTTCATTTTCAATAAAAACCAATTTAGATTGTTATACTAATTTAAGCAAGGTGTTTACTGAAACATGACAAAATAAGCTCAAAAGACACTTAGGAATAACAATTAAAAACAGTAAGCATATACAAAATTCAAATATGGAAATACAAAATACAATTTAAAACTGAGATTGATGTCAGATTTAAAAGCACTCTATCGTCTGGTGATTGAAATAAAGAACTAGTCTATGTAATAGCTAGTTTTTGTTAAGAGATAAGCTTTTACTTTATCTCTAAAACATTTTTTATCCGTTTGAGTTTTGAAATTCAATGGCAATTTATTTAAAAATGTTGTCCTCATGTGCGTAGCTTTTTTTCAAAAAAGCTAAGTTTATGTTGGGGAATGTTTAATGTATTTCTATTTCTAGTATAGTTGGAATGTATATCTCTACAAAAGATGTGATTGTGGAGCTGACTTTTTGTGCAAATTATGCACTACAAAATATATTGGTCATACACCGTTAGTATGTTTAAATTGCAAACCTGATGCACAAACTGTGTTGTTATTCATATGTGTTTGAAAACATATGGTGTTAGAATATTATTTGTTTAGTTTTTGTTGGTAAACATTCTGAATCTGGTTTATTGTAAAAAGCTACCTAATAAAGTATTTGTCTTATTAAAACTATATTTTAATCTAACTTGCGATAACACTACACAAACTGATAAACATTTGCCCTACAATTAGTATTTTTTATTTAGATGATTAAGGAGGAGCATCTCTATATTGACCACTAAACTGACCTTTCTACTGTATCGTGCTGGACAGTCTATGGTGAAAAAAGGTTGGGTCCATGTCAGTCATCAATAATGCCACCTAAGTTCACACTAAGGGGACTAACTTAGTGAACCCAATAGCAACAGTAGGCTACTTTGGTATTACAAATGCAATTAAAACAATGCAATATTGTGATTTCTCTTAATTTCTTTTGATTTCATACTAAAGTAAACTTTTCCACATGTTATTAGAGATTACATATTAGATTGTTGTGAAACATTGACCGATTTGAGTGAAATTAGGTATCAACTTAACAGGGTTTTTAGATAAACCACAGTATGGTGTTGTTTTATTTGTGTTTGTAAGATTAAAGAAAATGTAACTTCAATTATTTAGTCCCTTTCAGTGTGAGCTCAGTCGAGATTTGTAAAATGAATGACCAGCTGCTGCACCGATATACATTACCCTGCCTTAGAACACGGAGCCAACTCTTGGTTCACCATAGGCTGTCCAGCATTATATAAAGTGTTATAGAAAGGTCAGTTTTGTGGACAGTATAGAAAATCTGTGATAATTCCACATTGGCACGTCTATTTTATAAACTGAGATATAAGTTTAAACTGATTATATCCATAAGCTGTAAATTGCTTATGGTCAAATTAAAGTTGGAATGAGAATATTAATAGGCCCTAAGCTTACACAAACAAAATAATGTTATTAATTGTACTCAGTTGGAAATTTTTGAGTATCAATCAGGACAGAGTAGATTAACAAATAGAATGGGATTGGATTATGATAGGGATTTTAGAGCATTGTGATACCAGTGATAATATTCAGTTTGTCTTTGGACCTTAATTTATTATTCAAACCAAATAGTTTTGACTAGGCTTAGTTCATCATAAAAAAACAATCTTTGCATAGTCAATGTAAAATTTCTTAAAATCTATATATTAATAGGCAAGCATCTAAAACCTTTTTTCTCAGCTTGTGTGCATCGCAGGGAAAATCTACGCATACTGTTGGAAATATATATTTTTGTGCTAAAAAATAAATACAAAAATGAATTTAAAATTTAAAAAAATAACCTGGGCCTTATGGGTTGCCATGCTGGTGACGAAATAACAGCAAATATATACAGAAAATCAAAACAAATTGAAGAAATTCCAATCACATGTTTTATTTACAGTCTGGGGTGAAAATAGAGAAGTCTGCACATTACATAATTTTGGTTGAGTTTTCGACCCCTGGACGCCCTTTAGTTCTATTTAATTGAAGAAAAAACAATGCTATTTAGAAATTAAACTTTGAAAGAAATTTATAAGAAACTGAAAAACATAGACTGACAATACCTACCACATGAGTGAAAGTAAAGTAATGTAGGCTAAAATAATTAAAGTTAAAACTAAATCAAGGGTTTACAAACCAATACAATGCTGATTCAATGTTGTCTGGTTTTACAATTATCGCAATATAGTACAGTGCAATTAGCTTAAAAAAAGAGCAAACCAGGACATCAAAAAAAAAGTTTCAAACCAGTGCCAAATTGTTGAATACACTTCCCTCAATATGTAAAAAATTTGTTACACTGACTTGAGTGTCGGTTTTGGGGGGGAGGGGGTGAAAATATGAGTTTTTTTTACTTTTTCGCAAATACCTCAAAAACGGTGCGTTTTTCTTAAAATATAACCAGTTACAAAAATAATATACATTAAATTTTGAACAAAATGATACCATACAATACCTATCTACTATAACCGGTTCAGGTAATATTGAGGGGTAAATGTGATTTTTTTCTTAAAATTATAAAAAAGTTGTTTTTTTAATGGAGGAAGTACCAATGGACACCCATAAAAAAAGTTTCTAATGAGTGCCAAATTGTTCAATAAACCTCCCTTAATATGTATAAAAAAGTTACACGGATTTGAGTGTCGGATTTGGGAAGGAGGGTTAAAAGAAAAGGGGGGGGAATGGGACTTTTTTTGCTATTTTACAAATATCTCGAAAACGGTGCGTTTTTCTTAAAATATAATGAATTACAAAAATAATCTATATTAAATTTCAAACAAGATGATGCCATACAATACCTATCTCTACCATGAACGTGTTAGGAGATATTGAGGGTAAATGTGATTTTTATTTTTAATTCTAAAAAGTTGTTTTTGAAATGCAGGAAAACCATGGATACCCATAAAAAAGTTTTTGTTCTTTGCATTTTCTCTAATAACTTACTCGTTTATGAGCTACAGGATGCGGAATGTACACAAAAAGCCTTCCATAAGTGTAACATGCTGTAACTCCTAAACGAGTAGCTTTTAAGAGAAAATGTCAAAATTAAAAATGTTTTTAAATTGGATTTATATTCTAAAACAATCATAAACTACAGGGTGTTCCATAAGAAACAACAAAGTTGTCGGCCATATTGGAAAATGGCGAACATATTTTTAAAATTGGGAACCATTCCAAATCATCTAAAAAAATAAAGGGGAGTGTCCCATAAGAAGTCAACTGTATAACTCATGATAAAATAGTTAGCTTTAGCTATTGGTTCACTTCAGGTGAGACATCCTGTATACAGGGAGTCCTGTAAGTAAACAGCCAAACCCCAGGAAATGGTTCTATGGGTGAAAATAAAAAGAAAATCAAGAATATTTTTTCCAAAATCGCTTCGTTAACCAGATATTTGCCATTTTGTTTTTTCCACAAAAACATTATTTCATCTCTGAATTTTTTAACCGATCATTAACAAACTTGGTATGTATGTTGAGATAAAATAGACCCACGTTAGAAAAAAATTATCTTAATCCAATAAAAATTTTAAAATGGCGGCCATTTAATTTTTTAATATTGAAATTGCTAGAAATGGCTAATTATGAAAAAATGTCTGTGTAACACTTTTATTTAGCTTTTAAAATAATAAAAAATAAATAAATATTACGATTTTTATTTGTAAAATGAGGCAACCCTGAATAGCGTAGCCTTGATCACAATAATTTTACAACAAAAGATCGTTGTAACTTCAGTTATTTTTTATTCGATCTTCTTAAGAATTCAAACGGTAGAAAGTTCACCGTGTTCCCGTATCTAGGTAGGTTTGTCTTTTTTAGGAAGGTAAGTCATATTTAGTTATATTGTAGTTATATTTGTGTTAAAATGGAAAATAAAAGGTGTTACTTAACAAAATTTACAAAATTACTTATGAATAAAATTTCCAACCCCGTTTTCACACCCTCCTACCCAAGACCGGCACGCAAATCAGTGTAACTTTTTTACACATATTAAGGGAGGTTTATTGAACAATTTGGCACTCATTAGAAACTTTTTTTATGGGTGTCCATTGGTACTTCCTCCATTAAAAAAACAACTTTTTTATAATTTTAAGAAAAAAATCACATTTACCCCTCAATATTACCTGAACCGGTTATAGTAGATAGGTATTGTATGGTAACATTTTGTTCAAAATTTAATGTATATTATTTTTGTAACTGGTTATATTTTAAGAAAAACGCACCGTTTTTGAGGTATTTGCGAAAAAGTAAAAAAACTCATATTTTCACCCCCTCCCCCCCAAAACCGACACTCAAGTCAGTGTAACAAATTTTTTACATATTGAGGGAAGTGTATTCAACAATTTGGCACTGGTTTGAAACTTTTTTTTTGATGTCCTGGTTTGCTCTTTTTTTAAGCTAATTGCACTGTACTATATTGCGATAATTGTAAAACCAGACAACATTGAATCAGCATTGTATTGGTTTGTAAACCGTTCATAGTAGATAGGTATTGTATGGTATCATTTTGTTCAAAATTTAATGTAGATTATTTTTTTAATTGATTATGTTTTAAGAAAAACGCACCGTTTTTGAGGTATTTGCAAAAAAGTAAAAAAAGTCCTATTTTCACCCCATTTTCACCCCTCCCCCCCAAACCCGGCACTCAAATCAGTGTAACTTTTTTTTTACATATTGAGGGAAGTGTACTCAACAATTTGGCACTGGTTTGAAACTTTTTTTTTTGATGTCCCGGTTTAGGTCTAATTGCACCGTACTAATATCTGTGATGTTGATTTGGGAGCATATTTGATAAGTTATTTTTAACAATTTCAAGTTAAACTTGTTAGTAAAATTACCTTCTTGAGTTTATTTTTGTAAATAATTCTAAATAAATTGTGTGGTAGGCCAACTTGTGTTGGTAATAAACACACAAAATATAACAATCATTTGTTGCTTACTTTGGCCAAATCATGTCCAATTCCATTGTTTTGCAAGTGCGGAGGAACTTCAGTGTGATGGAGATTTAAAAGTCCACCTTTCTGTTTTTCATACAAAATGGCACCCATCTCTGGAAAAATTTTACATTAACCATTAGGAGATATCGCCCTACCTGCAAGATCAGCAATTTATGACACAATGTAGTCTGAAACATTTTTTACCAGAAGAATTGAGGTTTCTGTCAATTGAGATAATGTGACAGAAGTGTCTAACCCTTCTAAGAAACCAGTGATGTGGAAAGCATTGATTGGCTGCTGTGCCTGCCTGTTTGTTTACACACACATTCTAAAAACAAAAAGGAGCCAGCTGAACGACTGGATTTTCTTTCTTCCCTTGTATCAATAGTAAGCTAGAATGATAGTGATCTGGCCCCCTTTGAATTCTAAGAAGTCTAGACCCCTAGAGATGCTTCTATAAGAAGATTCAAAGATTCAAAAGAATTCAGTAATAAATTACAATAGGTAACGTCAAAAACTATGTTAAAATATATAAAATCAAATTATATAAATGTGATGTGGAAAGCAAAAAGGAACCTCTTGTCATGAATTTTTGTTTGAGTTATATATACAGGGTGAATTTTAAATGAGTTCCCCCCCTACTTTTTTCTACGTTTCTTAAGATATCATCTCCGGACCACGTCAGATCATTGTTTAGTAGTAAGTACTTCATTTTGACTGGGTATACAGTTTTGGCCGCCATCTTGGATCCGCCATATTGGATACAAAGTTTTTTTTTCAAATGTAAAGGTAGGGTTGTGACCCATTATTTCAAACTAGAATTTTACACTGATTACAATGCCGCAATTAGTTTTTAAAAATCTTGATTCGTTTTAAAGTTATGAGGGCTTTTTATAACTTTATTTTTAGCCCATTTTAACATTGTGTATTAACAAACTAAGACCATAATCTCAAAATGGTGCTAGATAAAGATAAGTATACACCACCATTCATTGTCGACATATTTTCACTTGGTTATGATGGATTTAGTTTTTTCAGCCGCCATCCTGGAGCCGCCATTTTGAAATGTGATCAATTAATTTAAATATGAAGGTGGTGTTGTGACCCATCATTTTGAACTACTTTTTTATACCGGACTCAATGCTGCAATCCGTTTTTGGTTATCAAGCTTTCTTGATGAAATATTAAAATACTCTTATTTAAAATTTCAATATTTCAAAATCCAAAGATGCAAATGAAAAACGGATTGCGGCATTGAGTTCAGCATAAAAGAGTAACTCAAAATGATGGGTCACAACACCACCTTCATATTTAAATTAATTGATCACATTTCAAAATGGCGGATCCAAGATGGCGGCTGAAAAAACTACATCCGTCATGACCAAGTGAAAATATGTCGACAATGAATGGTGGTGTATACTTATCTTTATCTAGCAATGTTTTGAGATTATGGTCTTAGTTTGTAAATGCACAATGTTAAAATGCGCTAAAACTAAAGTTATAAAAAGTCCTCATAGCTTTAGAACGAATCAAGATTTTTAAAAACTAATTGCGGCATTGTAATCAGGGTAAAATTCTAGTTTGAAATAATGGGTCACAACTCTACCTTTACATTTGAAAAAAAAACTTTGTATCCAATATGGCGGATCCAAGATGGCGGCCAAAAATGTATACCCAGTCAAAATGAAGTACTTACTACTAAACAATGATCTGACGTGGTCCGGAGATGATATCTTAAGAAACGTAGAAAAAAGTAGGGGGGGAACTCATTTAAAATTCACCCTGTATATTTGAATTCCTTATTAAATTCTGAATCACCTGTACTAGTGCAAGTCCCATGCATCTACAATTTTTTTTTGTTAAAGTTATAGGACCTTGAAATTTTGTTATGGAAAAGGGTCATTTTGAAAAAAAACTATTTTGAAAATTTCAAATACGCATGAAAACAGTTTATGCCGTATGATAACATTATGATGTATGATATATGATATATGATAACAGTTTATGCTGTATTTAAGAAACGATTTTGGTATCAAAAGAAAGCTTATAATATCCTCTTTGACGGCAATGCCATTTTTTGTCTTAACTCACAGTAGTTTTCATTTAAATTTAATTGTTTTATCGAAGCATGTCATGAAAATCAAATTTCAGAAAAGGGACCTCTTGTCGACCCTATGTTATTTCTTCATAACATAAAAAAGTTACCTCTTGTTAGGACCGCAAAATTTGTGAGATATTTTGTTCTCCGTAAACTGAACTTTGTAGTTCTCTAAATTTTCACTAGAATGCAGGACAATAAATTTTAGCAAATTTCTCTATAGGGAAGTAGCTATTACCGTAGGTGGTAACACCTAGGCCTGGGACCGATTTAAATTACACTATTTTTGAATTTCTCCGTGACCGTTAGGCATACAAAAGCGCTTTAATATACTAAATTATTTCTTTTTTTAAGCTCTACAAAACAGTATAAAAAGAAATTGCAAATTTTTTAGTTTTTAGGGTCAAAAATGGGAAAACCCCATTTTACCCCATTTTACCCCCCATAAACCCCTGTTCCCATGGTCCGATTACGCTGGATCGCGAACTCGTTCGAATAAACGTAGGTTTACACGTTTGTACCAAATTTCATCAAAATCGGTTATCGCGCTAACGGACCCATATATATATATATATGAATTAGAACGGATGGTGTTTTGGGCCTCTAGGGACGTCAAAATGAAAAATTAAATCGGTCCCGGGTCCAGGTCTTACCATGAGTACTACGGTAATAACTACTTCCCTACAGGGAAATTCGCTAAAAACCAGAGTACCGTACCCTGAAATTCATTTTAGCGAATTTCCCATATAGGGAATATTAGCGAATTTCCCATATAGGGAATAAGCTATTACCGTAGGTCTCATGGTAAGACCTAGACCCGGGACTGATTTACTTTTTCGTTTTGAGGTCCCCAGAGGCCAAAAACACCATCCGTTCAAATTCATATATATTTATATATGTGTCCGTTAGCGCGATAACTCGAGCAAAATTGATCCGATTTTGATGAAATTTGGTACAAACGTGTAAACCTACGTTTATTCGAACGAGTTCGCGAACCAGCATAATCGGACCATGGGAACAGGGGTTTATGGGGTAAAAATGGGTTTTTCCCATTTTTTACCCAAAAAACTAAAAAATTCTGCAATTTCTTCCTAAACCCTCTTGTTGAGCTTTAAAAATAAATAATTTAATATATTGAAGCGCTGTTGTATGCCTAACGGTCACAGAGAAAATTTTAAAAAAAGTGTAATTTAAAATTCCCATGTTATTCTTATGGAGAAAATGAAAACTATTGTAATTTACTTGTTTATGGATATAATGTTGATAAAATTTTGCAAATTTATTTATTTCATCCTATACTATTGACATATAGTCAAAAAACACTTTTTACCTTCCCCGTAGCAGCAAACCTAAGCACTCGTTAAATCTAATGTTATTTAAATTGGAAATATATGTCTTATTTATGGGAATATTTTAGTAAAAATGTAATCAGACAAGTTGAAATTCACTTAGTCCGCAGGCGGGGGTATTTATTTATATTTTTACTTATACGTATTTCGGCACTAAGGCCATGATCACAGTATTAGAAGGTATTAGCATTGACTATGGGATACTATCATTGACTACTAAGTCAAAGATACTATAGTTCGGCCGCTTAGAAAGCGACCTCCTCCAGCATTAGCGCGCAGGTCGTTTTCTAAGCGGCCGAACTTTAGTCAAAGGTGTAGGTATAAGAGTATGCAAACAAAAAATGAATAAATTAATAACATATTTTTGAATTAATAGTAAATTTTGATTAATTGATTAGGTGTATGTTTTAACATGTAAATGTATGTGATTCTTCCCTCATATGTCTGATTATTTCATGGATTTAGTTTTTGCTTTTGCATTACATTGAGAATTTGGTCGCCGTGTTCTTTTGAGTGTAGATATGTTTGCAGTGCTTCTTCAATATCCATTTGTTCACCATTTTTCTCATAATTTAGAATTTTGACACGTTCTTCTAATTTGTCATAATTATAATTGTTTTATAATATATGTTCAGCGTACATTGAACGTTGTTTGATTGTATTGTATTGATTGTTATTGTCATAAAGCATCAGATTGTTAAAAAAAAATGTCTAAATTTGGGAAGGGTATTAATCCGAACAAACGTGCTAATCAGATATCAAATAACAGTAATGAAAGCAGTGACTGTTGTGTTCTATCGGCATTAGCAGCCAAAACTAGTGCTGATTGCTGGTATCTTGATTCAGCTTGTACCTATCACATGTCAGGTCAGAGAGATTTACTTCAAAAATACCAAAAGTATAGCAAAACTGGTATGGATGTCATTGTGGCGAACAATGAGAAACTAAAAAGGTCAAGGAGAAGCAACAGTCATGATAGATTCTGATGAGAGAAAAAATACTGATGTTGTCCATGTACCTAATCTATCTATCTATCTATATATTAATAGGCAAGCATGTTTCTTTAAAACCTTTATTCTCAGCTCGTGTGCATCGTAGGGAAAATCTACGCATACCGTTGGAAAGCTATTTTCCTGTAGGTGTGCAGAATCCCTTTATAAATTTAAATAGGCTCAAAGATAAGCACAAAAAATGAGTTTAAAAATTTGAAAAAATTAACATTGATCTTATGCGTTGCTATGCTGGTTACGAAATAACAACGAAATATAAACAGAAAATCAAAACAAATGGAGGAAACTCCAATCACATGTTTTATTTACAGTGTGGGGTGAAAATAGATAAGTGAGTACATTACATATTTTTGGTCGAGTTTCGACCACTGGACGACCTCTCATACTTATTTAATACGCAAGCAGGTTTTTTGTGACAATTACTCCTCCGAAACTACTGAACCAATTGACATGTTTTTGGTGTCATTGGAAAGAGCGTAACGTGAAGTTGTGCAGGAAACTTTCTTTTTAAGGAAATAATTAGAGAGTGAGGCCCTGGGGCCCTTTAAAGTTTCGTATCTATCCATAAGATTAACATGGGAAACAAAATTTGTCATGGAACTCCAGCTGTTGTCAGAAATTAAGAGTGAAATATTTATTGATGGTATCCATGGTAA